GAGCGGGGCTGCTCCACAAGGAGGGATAAGCCAGGAGCCGAGGGTGACCACAGCACAGGCAGTGCCCTTACTGTCTGGTGCAGTCCCACTAGTCCGAACAGCATGGGCAGAGGCATGTGCTACTAACAGGGTCCACAAACAGTCTCAGTCAAGGTGAGGGGATGAGTTGGGTTCAGGGTCCATCCAGGGAGTTCAGTCAGAAGCAGCAGGAGTTAAGTCCAGAGACAGGACTGGGAACAAGACTACAGAACAGATCCAAGGTCCATCAGGAGCCACGACTGAAAACTGGCACACCTGTGATGTAGCCAGGCAAAGTCTGAAGGCCTCAGCCTGAGGTTAAATGGGACTTCTGGACCCATGGGCAAGCTGCATGGATGGGACACCCAGAGGAAGCTAGTCAGGGCATTTAAGGCCAATTACTGCACTCAGGAGCCTGACATATTTCCTGTCAGACCACATAAAATATCTACAATGCTCCTGTAATGAAGCAACCATCATTTACCTACTGCTTTTGCCAGGAATCGTATGCTATTGATATTCTTCACTTCAGTCCTCACTCCATAATGTTCTCCAGGATGATGCACAGAAACATTGGCATCCACTCTCAGCTGACCCTCTGTAAAAGGAAACTTCGTCAACAGAATAGTCTGCCCTGTAAACTAGAGTAAAAACCTTGGCATGCATTAATAAACTGCATGTTATGTGCAGAGCATTAATAGCAGACTTCCGTATGTTCAGCAAGGAGTAACAACCACCTCATCATAGCGTTCTGATTGTGATTCCTCCAATCATTCAAAATTTCCTGCGAATACTACCTTTTAAAAAAAATTATTACTCATAATTCCTCTCAGAGAAAACTGCGTGGTGCAGTGCAGCACAGATCCTCTAAGCCATATAGTGAAAAAAGCTTCTGATCCACAGCTCTTAAAAAGGGCAGAATTAGACAAGCAATTTAAAGTAGTGGATTGTGAGTTTCCATTCCTCTAAAAGCAGCATAAAAATACCTTTTGGAACTACAATTTGATGGATATATACTACCCTAGCATGGAACACAAGAACTTAGAATTATGTTGAACAGGTTTACTAAGATGTTCTTGGAAATTTACAACTCAAGGACAAAATGTGAGAAGTAGTGGATTTTTTTGTAATTTTCTTCCTCTCCTTCAAGAAACTGCAATCTCCCCGCCCCACCCCAAATTTCCCCAGCTGCCAAAAACTGAAACTGAATACAAAGTTTTATATGAAAGCATCCTGCACTTTTAGTCCAAAACAGAATAATGTCCTTAGAGATCTTTAATGACTCAACCCCGAGTAACTCCTAATTGTATCTTTCTAAGTTTTGTCCCTCTAAAGACATCCCTTCTGAGAAGAAAAGGCTTGCCACAGTTATTCAACTGGTGGGAATAAAGAAAGAGGAGAGGTTGTATTAAAAAGAAACATCATTTTTCCCATATTGCACAGTGAACATCTGTAGCCTTCCTCTTCAGGTTTGTTTTGGTTTTTTTTTTAATTTCAAACACAGATAAGAAGAAACAAACACTCACTGTTTAGTTACATAGCATTATTAAACAGAGCACAAAATAGCTCAGAGTTAAACCTGTGAAGATGTCTACAGCTTCAGAATCCATTCCGGTCAATAGACGTAAATTGACTAGAGAGGCCTTGGTACACTGTGTAAAAGTAGGCTGGATGATAGCACACTGATTTCCTCTGTCTTCATAGAGTCTTGCCAGACATGCAAATGAAGGACAAAGGTGCTGGAATGACCCAACATCTCTTTGAAGAGAAGTGTTTCGCATGTGCTCCCTCTTTGGGGTAAAATGAGTACTTGTTCCAAAAGAGGAATAGTCTTGTCCTGCCCTTGCTTCATTTTGAGACATGACCTGCTTCTACTTGGATGTAGGCGTCAATGTGACAAGACAATGAAGTTAATCAGGCATAAGTGAAAAGAAAGCCAGGCCCCAAACGTTCTTAAAAAAGCTTTTTTCCTGTAAGCCCAGTTTAAGCCTAACTTCTTTTCCTTTCACTTGGCAATGAAATAATCTCTTCATCTGCTTGTTGTTAATGAAATAACACCTCATAAAACTGGGCACTTGTCTTCACTGAACACACAGGTAGAATGAAGGTAAAATATGAGAACGTAAAGCCCTTATTTGAAAGCAAGTAATTATGATAAGGGAAAACCACAGTAGAAAGCCCTTAAAAACACCACCTTGAAAAAAAAATCCGAATACTTTTAAAGCCAACTATACTGGAAGAAAAATATTCCCAACACTGGAATTCTCCTTAAAGTCAGAAATCTCACTGCAATAAAAGATATCATAGAGCAATTCCAATGCCAACCTTAGGGCCAAATTCAGTAGTGATAAATGATGGTATATATGTATATCCGCGAAGGCCTTTGAAGAAATACGCAAACTGGCTGCTTAATATTAACAACTGTTCCCCATTTGATACGTGTAACACTAGTGTAAGAAAAGATTCAGAGACATATATAATGTCTAGCAATTATTATTTCCCCCTACATTAAATCAGATTTGCATCACTAGCCAAGATTTATTGGATCCCATTTACTGGGTGATACATGCACCACTCTGACTCAGTTCTCTAGGAGATGCATCCACTTATACTATGGCCTGAATTTGTTGCCAGAACAGTGAGGACAACTGCCACAGGCAAAAATATAGCTTACATTGTGAACACTAATAGACAGCTGATAATTGGGTGTATGTGTTGAGGGGATGAATGCCAAAACTGTATTTTTAAAGTCTCAAACAGAAGCCTGCTATTTGCTAGCTGTAACGACGGGCTGGTTGTTATTTTGATAACATTAGGACTGAGCAAAAATGGCATGACCTGAATCCTCCAATTAATAGAGACATAAGACAGAATGATCAGTTAGGAGGCTGATCACACACTGTGCTTCTGCACATCACCTATTGCAAAAATTGGGGCCTTAGGGTTCCAGAAAGAGAAGCTGATGCCAAAAGCAGGGGTTCCCAAAAGAGGAAGTAGTCTTAGAAAGATAGTAGCGATCTTGGCTAGACAGATCCTGGAGGTAGGGGAGGATCCCGAAGATCAGTGAGATACATGGAGACAAATGTCAGGGGATGCCTAGGTACCTTGGCTCTAACACCTGAGACTGATATCTGCAAGCCTGCTGCACAGCACGAACCAACACAATTTTCTGGCCCACCTCCCCAGACCAGCAGTGATCTCCCTAGTGGGAAGAGAATTTGAGACCCAGTGAACATAATGCTGGAGGGGAGGGAGGGACAGCGTGAGTGTGTGAAATGATCAAGTAGGATAAAAGCCGCAGTCTCATTGGTTCTTAAATTAACCCCGGCACCCATATCTGCTATGCGCTGTTGTTTACTCCATCTCACCCATGACATCAGCACAAGTTTACTGCCTATATCCATTTCATGATTAGCTGAGACCTGACACACAACTTACAAGATGATCCATGCTCCCACTACTTTGACCCATAACTTCCATATTCTACAGCTAATCCTTACTACAGATCTTCTGTGCTACAGTGCTGTGGCAAGCAAGATGAGGACAGACAGGGAGAAACACCACAAGAACCCTGGGGACATTCCTTCCTGCCTAGGTTTATCCTGTAAAATTATTGTGTGAGGCAATATAAAATCTAGCACTGCAAAGCTCTGCAGACAAAGGCAGGCCCATAAGGACACCTGAAGCACGGCAGACATCAGGACAGGCTCTGAGGATTGTAAAAACAACAGCTAGAAAAGACTATGCATTATAAGCAACCACAGAGCAAAATAACCAGAAGCTGTAAAACTCCTGGAAATGCAGAGAATTACTGGTGACAAGGGAACATGCCCTTCCCCCTTCTGTACCTGCCATGACTGCCTGGCTGCTCCCAAGTGTCTGAAGAATGAGCTGAAGCTCTCTGACTGCTGCAGCTGCCTCTTCCCCACAGCACATATCAGGCTCCATGACAACCTCCATGTAAAGAGACAGGAGATTTTCAACAATAGCTTTTGATCTCGGCATATTAGAGTGCAACTGGCTAAACACATGAAAGCGCTTTTTTTTTTTAAAAAAATAAACCCCCATGTATTATTTAGTAACTGTCACTATGGTCCTGGTTGCAGATTGCCATGAAAACCTTTTCCTCCTATTTTTTTAAAGAAACAGACAAACCGCAGACAATCCTCTACCCTTTGATGACATGCAGATTACAAGGACACATGCCTCTTCTGCCTTTCTCCGGGAGAACTCCCATTTAAAGCCAATCTGATTCCAGATTCAAATTTATTTTTCTTAAACTAATTTTGGAACAGACAGAACTGTAAACAGATGTAGTCCAGTTTTTAGCTTCAGGATCCAGCTTTCAAAGAATATGAGCACAGCCCTTAACTTCAGTGGACACCGGAACACTGTATCCCAGTTAGGCTGGGCCATCCAGGTTGCTGCCCATGTTGTGTGCTAATTTGGTTCATTCTGTTTACCATTTAAAAGTTTAAAGAGAAAATCTACATTTTTTCAAAGCTAGTAATTAAAAGAAATGTCTGACTCATGCACTGACAAATTCCAACAGCTGCTCCTTCTATACAAAAACCTGATTCACTAGGTCTGCGGTTTTTTGGGTTTTGGTGTTTGGTTTGTTTGTTTTTTTGTTTTGTTTTTGTGTTTTTTTTTTTTTTTTTTTAACAACAACACATATAGTGGCAAGAGCTTAAACAGCTGAGTGGCTGTCTGTGACTGACACATACAGTTTTGAGCAAACTGAAGCCAACAGATTTCTAACTTGCTATTGCCAATTGCCATCAACGAACAACAATGGGAAAGGTCTACTGGCCATTAAAAAAATTCAAGTATTCCCTTGCTTCAAGTGTAATGGTCATTTTGATGAATTTTTATTTTCAAGGAGAGAGACATCAGGCTGTTTTTATTTGTCACCTGTTCCCTGTCACCCATTTACCTTTAAAGACGCATCTTAGACAGAAAGGAGGAGAAAAATAGGAAAATAATCCAAGCCTACCAGCCCTATTCAAGTCAACAAGAGTCTGGCTCCTTGTGTCATCATGGAGACTCTTTCCACTGTCTTGCTCCAACTGAATTTGTTTAATCCTCACAGTTTTGGTCACCATCTGGCTCATTTTGTTGTCTATGCAGAGACTGTATGACAGACTTCCATTCACCGCAATAGGAACTCTTTGCTGAGTGATTTGATAGCCAGCCTGTCAACAAAATTAGCTTTATATTCAAATAGAACATTCACTTTTCAGAAAGTAGCAGCACGGCCAAGTGCAAATATTGTAGACTAAGAACAAAACTGAAAATGCAACATCTTCCACAGTGACCTATATAAGAGGATAGAACACATGCACATGTAAATTCAGAAATTATTTTGCTTAGCTGGAAAGGAAGCAAGCTAGAAGATGGGTCTAGAATTCAACATAACTGTGAGAAGCTGGAGGTCTGGAAAAAATAAGAGCAGTCCTCAATACAGGCAAGTATAAGATACTATACTAAATGCAGAAATAATCAATAATCAACTGCACAACCACTTGCCAAGGATGACATAAATTTCCCTCATACTGCCTTGGGGCAGGAAATGGACTACAAGAGGTTCTTCCATGCCTGTGTTCCGTGGTCATGTTAAATCTTGTCTGAAGCCAGTTACCGTACCTCCATCCCCAAGCTGGGACTATCACTTATCCTCCCATCAGGCTGAATATCCATCTCCATCTCCGTTCAGAACTTTACTCATTAGAGGGGAGGAGATGGAAAGGGAAGGGGGGGTGTGGAAATCAAGAAAATGAGAAAGCTCAATTTCATTAATGTAGCAATTTAAAAGATAGACACTGCAACCCCCCATAAGGCACACAGCTGATAAATGCCACCTCATGACTGGAACTCCACTCAAAGGGCAAACTGCTAGCCAGAGAAGGGGCTGCCAGTGACAAGGTATTGGAATATCGCAATGATGTAAAAATATAGAAGTTACTCTGTTGAGGTAGGGTCCCCATCTCTTCCTCTCTCCTAGCCTGCTCATGCTTCCAGTGGTGAGAATTAAAAAAAAAAGCCTGCCCGATTTTAATGAATTGGGAAGAGCATTTGCGTATTTTGCAGGAAGAACAAGCTTACTCTAAAATGTAGAGATGGTGACAGTGCATTGGAATGGAGAACAATGGTCTGGCCCTGTGAATAGCTCCATTTATATACGCAATGAAGTGCATGGCCTTCTAACCATAATCACTATAAGAAAAATAAAATAACTGACTCTGTGTAGCCTATGCTAATGACACAGCTCTTCCCATCTCCTAAAACTTCTCATTAAAATGATTTTTTTAAAGCCTGAAACAGTGAGTGACAATAAATAACAAGAATCCCATTTCCCATCCAAAGCCTCATTTTCAGGAGTAACAATAATCCCCTTGTCAAACGACCCTAAGAGCTGGATTTATTTTATCTGTTCTATACAGCCCATTAGCCTCAACTCTGCATCTTATTACAGGGTTCCTGACTAGACTGTTTCACTACGAAATGCAGGTTGGGCAGTTTATTGTCAGTGCTTAAACTGCAGAAGGCAGCCAGTAGAAAGCCAGAATTACACGTTTCAAGCTAATAAAACGTGTCAGCATCTCCTTGACCAAATTTCCATGCTTATCTGACCAGAGGATACTGTAACTCATGTCTGCAGACAACGGCAGCCCACTTGGTGCTGTACACACCTTCTTCCACCCCGCTCTTCTCCTCTAAACACATGGATGTGGTTTCTTTCCTATGACAACATTCTTCCATATAGCTTCTATGCAGTAGACCAATAGCAGCAGACATCACAAGAACATGAGAGATTGTTTTCAGTTTAACAGCAGAAGCACCAAAGGTGGCTTGCAAACAAGTCTGTGATGTTTTTGGTGTTTCATTATGATGTGTAAAGGAATTCTGAAAGTCATGTTTATTTCCCGCTATTTTACTTTTTTCTCTTTCAGGTCTGGAAATGGGCTTTAAGATAGTTTTATAAGTAAAAAAAAAAAAAGTATTGGCAATTCAAACTGGTAAGTTTGTGTTTCACGTTCCCAGTAGCTTACTACAGGGTCCCCAACAAAAGGGCCTCTTAATGGCTCACAAATATTAGGAAAGTTATCCCCAGAAACCAAATCAGTTAATTACATCAACTTCACAGAAGAGCCACAAGTTCCCAACACAGAAGAAAACAGAATAGAAATCTCTTCTGAGATCCAGGTCTCAGTGTTCAACTGTAACATAATTCTCTTTCTAAGGTGGGAAGCAATTGTATTTGAGTATGTTTTGTGCAACTTCAAAATATTTCCAATGCTTGAACAAAAGAGTGGGAGAGAAAATTTCGTTAATAATGCAGCACCTCTCCACATTAATCTGAGACCTGAGAAATCTCCCACTCTGCTTCTCCGGATGTCCAGGACACCTCACCTAAAGAGAGGATAAGCTAACATGCCTGATCTTTCTCAGATAAAATAGAAACAGATTTTTTTCTTTTAATGCAGTCATCAGATCTTCACCCCAAAAATCAGAGGAATTAAAACTAGTGTCCTCCCTTTGATAGGTTAGTGTTAAACTGAACATTCAGAACAAACAAGCTGACAGAAAAAAACCAATGTTTAAAATTAGAAAGGTTTAATTTCATTAGAATTAAAAAAAAGGCTCAACCACTGCTGCATCCTGTTGCAATGACAGCAGTCAAGTTCTTAAATGATTTCAATATTTCTACACCCACATCAAGTGCGGCAAAATGCATTTGACTTTCAGTGACACCTTCTACCAAATATGAAAGCTACCAACAAACCATACTGCAATGACTCAGTTTCTCAGGGTTTTTTTTTTTTTCATTTATTGGAACTACTGACTGAGAAAGTTTTAAAGGGAAATTAAATATTTTTAGGTCCCTCAGCACACACAAAAAAACCCACTATTATTTTTAAACCACTGGAACCTGTGTTTGTTATACATTCACTTTAAATGAAGGACTATTATCAGACTGCTTTTACCCTAACAGACAATTAGTACTAAACACCAGGAATGGAGAACTTGAGGGGCAAAGCTCCCAATTCAATTACATTAAGCTACTGGAATCGTGCAGCTAAGCAAGGAGTCAGCAATCATATTCAATCAGTGAGCGCCAGGGTTCAGCTGTCTATTCATCAGGGCACAGCACAGCATCCTATTGGGGTGAGCAGAACACTGACTGAAAACAGAAAAAGCATCTCTTCACCATCCTCTGTTGCCACCCGTACTCCAGACTCGTCCCTCCCTACAGCCATAAAGGGACCAGCTATACTGCATACTTACAGGCAGATCTGCATAGAAATAGTGTTTTCTGTCAAACAAGGACTTCTTGTTTATGCTGCAGTTGAGTGCCAGGCCTGTCATCACTGCTGCTTCTACACATCTCCTGTTGAGAACCTAAGGAAACATGACACATGGTTTTGCTCAAGATACTCAGTATGTAACAAATGTGTCTTCCGCACATTGCCTTATATGGAGCATATATTCAATTTTGCTTGCCTTCAGCCACCATTATATCTCTTGCCTTGTGTGGGTAGTTCTTATTCATCATTAAAGTCATGGTAGCTGCAAATCTGCAAAGCTTTAAGATGAAAAAACAAGCCATTCAGCCGTTTTGTTATGCCACATAAGGAGGTGTGCACTGTTCTGGCTTGCTACCTTTGCAAACATCCCAGTACTCTTGCACCCTCGAAGATTCAAAAGACAAATCATAGCAAATGATAATTGACTTGTAACCAGCTGTCAACTCATACTGGGAACTGGAAACACGCAAGATTTGCATTAGGGACTGCAGTGCCATTTCAGTAGAACACTTCAGAACATCTGTAACCACAGAACCACAGTGAATTCATGAGTATCTACACATAGATTTCAATGCTTTGCTTAACCAAGATGACATTAAGCACGCTTACTTGCTTTGCCAAAACAGAACCAAAGGGACATCAACTGATCCCATGGCTACAAATATACATGCATTTCCAGTACCCAGATAACCCATGGGATTAAGGTTCTTGCAGAATGCCACATGATCTGAAGACCCAGCAAGGACTGCATGAAGAAATAACGGAGTTAAATGTGGTTTCTCACCATGGACCCATCACTCTCAGTGCTACACCCTTCTATCTCCTCAGCAGGGTCAGGATCCACAGGAGAAAGAAAATTCCACTCCAAAAAGGACTAACAAGCAATGTTTCAAAGTTATGGTTTTTTTCAAATGTGCTCTCATTAATTTAACAGTTGGTTTAACTAACATCAAACGGATAAAACTGAAAAGAAAAAAAGACTGAATTTGTCTTAATACAACTCTGAGATGCTCACACTTACAGTATTTTGAAACAGGAACAGAACTTTATCCATCTTATTCTGCACTGTACAGCTGCCAAGAAGTCAATTTCCAGCAGGACCATTAAAGGGGCACATTATGTAAAAGAATCTACATGACTTCATCTGCATTGACCAGAACATAAAAGGCTTAAATAATGTTTTCTTCAATGTTTCTGACAGTATTTACTTTTTATATTCCCCAGCCTGATTTCTGAAAACAGATTAAGCAGCTGTACATTTCCGATCATCCCATGTCTTCAGCTGGAAAAGGAATCTCTTGGCTTTACTCATCTAATATTTCAAAAGTCAAAATAATAAGAGAAAATACGAGAAACTCTTCATGTAACAGAAACTTAAAATTGCTTATACAGACAAGAAATTAAATATTTAAGACATTTAACGAGGGAACTTTCAGATCTTTAGTGTAGCTATATATGGCTAATTAGAACACAACATCTGTTTGGGCATATTTTATTTAAAAAATTTAAAAGATACATAAAGCAAATTTTAAATCAGAAAAAAGGGAGAACAATTTCCCTTTGAAATACTGGTCCGCAGAAAAATGAACGCAATTGGTCCTGACCGTAATCTAAAGTAAAATTGGTAACTACAAAATACTAATTTATTTTAGTATCATAGCTGCAGTTCATTATATAATAGATGCTCCTGTTTTCAACAATTTAATGCTTCCAGACAGTACAGGTACTTTTTTTTTTTACTGTTTAAGGAAGCTTGTAACAGTGCTAGTCAAATTGTTCAATGTTTAAAATATAATATTTCTAAATACACAGGCAAAATTTCTTTCTACTAAAGCCTTATGGCATGATCCTGTCCAGGTTTACAAATTAGGGAGGACCATGCCAGTCAGCCCTTTAACAGCTGGTCACCAGAAACATTAAGGCTCCATAAGGACTGGGTAGACTTAAAACACCACTGCACCAAAGTAGTGAACTAGTGTCTTGCTGTGTTTCCTGATGGTGCAGGGGTTGTGACTGATTGTAACTGGAGAATAAGACAAAACTCAACTCCCGAGTCACAGTCAGTTAGAGCCTCATAGCACATTCTTCAAACACAGGTGGAGCTTAGCTAATGATTACACTACAACTATTGCCTTTGACCACTTGCTCTTCAATTTTGGTTCAAACAAGGTAGAGTGTATCTTACTCATCGCCCTAAGGGATAACATTATTTTGAGGTGAAGGAAATAATTCCCACAGACATGCTACTTACACCAGTGAGAAGCTTTTGCACTACTGCTGATGAACCATTTTGGTGGCTCTGGGCATAAAAATGTGAAGTATTGATTATTTTCTATGTATATTACTAAGCATTTAGATGACTGTGTATGTGTCCCCAATGTACTGAGTCATACTAGCCAAATCATTGTATATGCACCATTACTCATTCACTAGTGCCACTTCCTGTGCTACTCCTTTATCGACCTCCGTGGTGATAGAAGGCATTGCAAAGCAGATCTTTCCCACTATGGCATACTGAGATGTCTAACACGCCAATCTGCTTCCTCGACCCTGTTTGACTCTTAAAAAAAACACCACCAGATGACCCTCTACTTCCTCAAAAATCCAAACTTATCTGTTTAATATTGCTCCATTTCTGAAGTGACTACTACTACCCATTCCAGTGATCAAGGCTGTTTAAGCAAACTACTACTTTTCCTTCAAATAAGCCTAGCTTTTCAAATAATCTGCAGTGATAAACATCAATTCAGTATGTGAAACTTCCCATACTAATGACCTAGAATAAGTCCCCCAAGCTTGTTTATGCAGTAAGCTGTTATTAAGTTGACAGCTTTGACTAGCACCAAAGATTTAGATTACTGGCTTGAACTGACAAGCTGCCAGTCTGGTATGTTAGCAAAGTACTGGCCTTAAAAGAAAGCTATGTAGTTCCTGCAATAGCTTTGGACAAAACACAAGAGCCTAAAAAGCCGTCTTAAATATTTCTGATCTTCTAAAATGGAAGCATCTCTCCTAGGTATTTATTTAAAGAAATTCCTAGAGAGCTATCACAAAAGGAAATGTAAATTGTTTGTATTGGAAACTCATGAAAAACCTTAACAATGGCATCACACCACCAGCACCGTTTCCCTTGTCGCTCCGCTATCCTGCTAGAGCACCATGGTAACTGAGCGCTAAAGGAATGAAAGAACAATCCAACCAAGCTCTCTCTTTTTCGGATACTTGTCTATTCTTTACATCTAGTTCATAAGTGGAAAGACTCCTTTTAAAAATGTATCATCTTTATTTGCAAGGTCAGTTTAGTCAAGACCTTGGTTTTAAATACAAGACCATTCAATAACTATACAAAACTATATACAATACCTTCAACAGCATAAATTCCCACCAAAAGCAATTTTTTAACAGTTTTTTCTTTAACAGCAGGTTTACTCCTTCTATTAATACATTAAAGAAAGCTGGCCCCCTTTTAGGTGAAGATATATGTTTCTAATTTAGTAAATTATCATTTCTACGTTTTAAAGAGAGTAGGTATGCAGCTTCTTGTTTTGCTAATGAGTATTACATAGGATAAGAGGGGGGGGGGGCGGGGGAGAAAAATCTAGATCTCTCTCCTGGAAGAAGTTTATTTTTGCTACCTTTAAAAAAAAAAGTAATCTTTGCTATGACAGTGGCACCCAGGAAGCCTAAGTTATGGAACAAAGTATTCCTTGTACTAAACACAGTAAAATCAAAATAATTCCTCGGAAATTTTAAAAGTTTTTTATTCTAGGTCATACATTTTAATAAAGTAGATTTCATATTAATTGGCTATCTTAAGACCTTCATTCCTACTTATAATCATGAAGAAATCAGCATTAATGAGATTAACTACAGGACTGTTTATCTAAGAAACATTTAATTTTAGCTCCTTTTCATTCAAGATAACAGCTGGAAGAAGGAAGTAGTGCAATGTACTTAGCCAGCTCTCTGTAGACCAGGCAGTAATCTTTAGAAACCTCAACAGTTATATCTAATCATATTTCCCAGTACTCCCATTTCATATCACTCTGATTTTTATTTGCTTCCACTAATGGATATACTCAGTCTTACTATTCTTGCTGTGATAAAAGTACCAACTTGCTCCAATATATGGTTCTTGGAAGTGCAATCATAAGTTAAACTTCAAAATAAACTACTCTTATGTCTACTTAGTCCAAACGTAATTGCGACTGTTCAGTCTGACACTGCAGATGAGTACTTCAAAGCAGCATTCTTCCTTGGCATCCTCCCCCACACACAGAAGGGTGTAACTGTCTTGTAGCTGTGCATGTACAGAATATACATTAAAATAAACGAAGAGCTAATGATTTCCCAAATGATCCATTTATTTCAATAGGTCTACAATCAGACCTCATCCCTCTAAGCATACAGTAAAAATTTAAAAACCAATCCAACCTAAGTCTTGTCATTTGTTTGCTCTGCAAAGAGCCCACATGTTCCAAAAACTGAGGTCTCTAACTGCAGGGGAAATGTAAAAAGAAGGCCAGCTTCAGTTTAGTTTCTTCTGCATTTCAGTCCAGCATCTATTTCACAGAATATTTCCTGCCCTAAAATGAGCATTATGTTCTTATCCCTAAGGAAAGGGGCAAGAGAGTAGGGGAAGAAGCACCAGACATTTTAAGTTAAGATCTTAAGATTAATAGAAGGAGATTCCAGCTTAAGAAAAGAGAACAAAATGGCAACTGAGAAGCTGAAGCAGCAAAGGAAGATTGGGGGGAGGGGTATTAAATATACCTTAATAACTTTTGTAACTTTATCTTTCTCCAGTCTGATACCAAAGACATATGCTGCTATACAAAACATATTATTATTTCTAACCTTGCTTGGTGACAAAGTTGGCTTGCGCTGATGCAGCACACACTTATTCAAGTCGTATCTTAAAACCAGGCAACTCTGACATTTTAAGAAGTACCCAGCTCCCAAACATGTTACTTTATGTGTACTCAAAGAATAAGAGGGCCCACTCCCTCGAACCTGAAGAGCTAGTCTGAGCGCTCCCATCACAAGGCTTAGAATTGGAGGAAGCATCGTCCAGTGTCAGTGATGACCAGAAAA